CGCAATCGGTATCCCCAGGTGAGGATCATCAGGATACCAGGAGCGTACTTAGTCGAGCACTAAATATTGCTGAGTATCCGGGTCGGGTGAGGGGTAAAGGTCATGGTGTGACTCCAACCTCTTTGTATAAGCATCCAAGGAGAAGAAATCCTAGCAATGCAGAAGTGATGCAAACATTGCAGGATTTACAAGCTCAAGTCCGTGAATTGCAGAAGGATAAAGAGAGATATATGGCGGAAAAGAGCAGTTCACAATTGAAAGAAACTAGTGACAAAGCTAGTATCAACTGTCAGCATAAATTTCCCGAGGCAATTTTCAATATATATCTGTTATTATTATAGAATATATTTAGTCACTTCTAACGGTTATTATTGGTTTAGGGCATTTCATCTTGTCATCTATACCTATCATCGTCGACTTATCGACTAGTTGGCAAGGGAAAAGTCCATAACACTTCGGGAGATTTACTTCACCATAGACCGCTTCTGGATGGACACATGAAAGTATCGGTTGACATTGCTTTAGATATAGATGTGTTGCTGCCGGTACCCGACATTGTTGCTGAGACCACATTGTTGCGAGATGCAATAGGATCTTTTGTTGCATGGCCATCGGACCTCATTTTCATAGATGATCAGGTATGTTGAAAACAATTATGAATCTTTAAGTATTCAATTGTCAGTTCTGACCTCAGTTATTTCCACGGTAATTATAGACTCCTACAACACCCGCATCTAAGGGTAAAGGGATTTTGCGGCACGACGAGTCTGATGTATCACAAAAAGAGGTACGTTTAAAGTGTTAATTATATGATCCGAATAAAAAACTGCATAATTTTATAATTTAACTAAGTCTATATTATTTTTAGGTACCTTTTCAAGGGTCACAACAAGTGAGGCAGAAGATCGTTGGCGTACCACCCAGGAAAAGGGTGCCTACTAGATTTTTCCCTCGATACCAGCAGTGTCTTGAAATAATAGTGGGAACAACAGATTTGATGGATGGTGGTATTCGTCAAATGGATATGGATCAAGGTATCTTTGGTTTTCCTTGCACCGAAATAATTGGACATGAGGACGTGGAACAGATTTTCCGTCATAAAGAATTGGGCGTCAGTATTATGCACACATATATCCGGTAACCCCCATCTTTATATTATGTAATTAGCTGAAATCTTTTTTAAACATTTCAATGAATATATTCTAATATTAATTATGTTTTTATTTAAGGTTGTTATATGACAAATTGATGCGCGGGAATCAATTGTCAAACAGATTCCATTTCGTGTCTTCCTCCCGTGTCAGTGGAGCGACAATTGGTAGGGAACCGGAATCAATAAGAGAGCACTTAGTCGAAAGATTTATGGTAACTGGCAGTACATAAATCTTATATCTTTGGGCGTATAATACTATTCCTACAGGGTTATATTTTCATTCTAAGTTCATTTTAATATTTGTAATTTTTGCGTAGAAAATTTTCTTCTAAACTGTTGTTTTAATTTATAGACGTCACTGGTTGTTGGTTGCTATCGATCCTATAAAAGAAGTGGTCTATTATCTGAATTCGATTAACGGTGATTGGACAAATTATCCGGATATGAAGTTAATGATTGATACGTAAGTGAGATTATTCTAAATATTTGTGTGTGTTTATATATTTAATTATTTTTGTGACATTGTTCTAAATATATATTTTTATTTTGTTAGAGCGATACAAGTATTCCGGTGTCAAAGAGAAGCTCGGGTACGACGGTCTAAATCAAACAACATTAATTGGATCAAAGTGCAGGTATATTAATTTCCACTATTTTGCTTATAATATTTATGCTATTTGATAAAACAATACAACTATATATTCTTATTTGTTTTTCTATGTAGTGTCCTCAACAGCAAAACGGTGTAGATTGCGGATACTTTGTTATGCGGTTTATCAAAGAAATCATTCAACTGAATCAAATAGAGATTCCAGTCACGGTATGGATTTATAACTTAGGATTTGTTTTATTATTTCTCGGATATTTCATATAATTTTTTACTTTTAACTAAATCATGCATATTATGTTTTATTATGTAGTACTTCGATGAGTACAAATGTGCATATTACACGAAACTTCAGTTGGAAGAAATCAAAGAGGAATTGTGTCAATATTTTATTGAGAAGAGAATCATATAAGGACTGGTTTAGTTGTTGTTAGGGTTGATTTTGTAAGACTGATTTTGAGTTACAATGCTGATAACAATGGTTTATATATATTTTGAGGTACAAAAATGGTATATATATATATATTTTGGATTACAATGGTATACAATGCATTACCGCGGTTTATGAATTACAGGTTATGGCAACTGGTTTATATAAATAATATGCTGCAAACAATGCAGGTATATAAATTATATAAATTATACCTCTAAAAAAAATACCCTATGAAAGCGCTTTTTGAAGAAAACGCCGCCTTAGGTAGACCTATGAAAATGCTTTTTCACATAAAGCGCTATCTAAGGTAAACATATGACAGCGCTTTTTCAGGCAAAAGCGCTGCTAAAAGACAACCTATGAAAGCTCTTTTCTAGAAAAAAGCGTCACCAATGAAAGCGCTTCTTCATAAAAAAACGCTGCCAAAAGCCTACTTAAGAGAGCGCTTTTTAGAAAAAGCGTTGCCAAAAGCCTACTTAAGAGAGCGCTTTTTAGAAAAAGCGCTGCCAAAAGTCTACTTAAGAGAGCGCTTTTTAAAAAAAGCGCTGCCAAAAGTCTACTTAAGAGAGCGCTTTTTAAAAAAAGCGCTGTCATAGATAGACCTACGAAAGCGCTTTTCATTAAACAAAAAGCGCTGCTAAAACCTATAGCAGCGCCACCTTAGAAAGCGCTTTTAAGCGCTTTTAAAGGCCAAAAAAAGCGCTTTCGTAGGTCTTTTTTGGCGTAGTGGTGACTTTTAACTACTCAATACATATTGAGAGAGTGAAAGTTATATTCAGCCATACAAACAATCAGTTTTTTATTTCAAATTTGAATATTGTGTGTCTTTCATGAACGTAAATAGTCATTTGAATGCTAAAATTAAAATAAAACAAAAATAAAAATGTGTATAGAAAAATGTGAAAGTGACATATATACAGTAATAAATGTCAAATCAACCACAATGAAGCAAGATTGCAATAAGTTAATTTTAACCTTAGAATCAGAACAATTTAGATATTTTTTCAGAAAATTACACTTGATTTTCTCAAATACTTTATATTTTATATATTTATAATAGATAAAGATTAAAAAACTTAAAAGATCAACTAAACAATATTTAAACAATATTTAAGATAAAAGATATAAATTACCTTTCTAACTTAAATACTAAAATTTGTCTACAACTAATTATTTAAGTAGTTTTCCCAATATTCTCCAAAATCATATTAAGATGAAATAGTTTTTATCTCCACATATTGAATTAATCGCGTGCTATCTTGTATTATAGATAATATTAGTCTTATTCAATTTATTATCTTCATTTTACTTAAAAGTCCAATTATTTGGTTGTGTAACTTTTGTCAATGTCTATAAGAAACACAAACTAACTTAAATTATCATACAATTAAATTAAAAATATCTAATTAGTGTGACTCATTTTATCATCCCTACTTATAACTTCCTTAAAAAATATGAATAGGAAAGTTGGCTGTAAACTTTAAATAAACCCGAATTTAAATTAAAAAGATATTGTGACAAACTCAAATTGATTTTCTGAGTTGATTAAATTCTTATAAAGTTGGGCCAATTTGATCTGAATTCAACTCAGGTCAACATATTTTCAATCTTGTTTTGCGCCTTTTTTGATAACCTTTTCTAAATAATCAATATAATTATCTATTCATCAATATAAGGTATAAAAATTGAAGTTTAAAGTTCCAACTTTTACATGCCTATGGTACATTCCCCTCGGTTTGAAATTTTTCTCTCAATATTTTATTTTAGGTGATTTAGACAAATTGAAGAATTGATGTCCATATATATCCTGTTATCATGTGTGTGTACACATAAATACACACGTACCTTGTAACTTCGAGATAAGATTTTACAAATTTTCTTTTAAAGAATCATTAGATATTGAAGTAGATGATACTATTATTTAAGATATAAACTAATTTAAAATATAAGTGTCTTTGGAAAATTGAATACCCCCAAAACTGATTTGAATTAAACATTTAATACAACTCTAATGTCTATTAATTTATCAAACAGAAGGTTTGCATCAAATTCTTAGTAGTTTAATCGCTCACTAAATCAGTCTTATTTACATTGTAATGTCATATACACTATCTCAATCAAATTCTTAATTCTGTCTAAATTGGAAAGATAATCGATGAATTTGCAATAACCTAGTGGTGGCCAAGAGAATTAAGGTTGGCAAGCACGTGAGGAAAATGAGAACCATGATGGGCAGAACACGAAACTATCTCTTATGATGTTGGTTTAATAACTTTAACGATAATGTTTAAAAATGTTGTTTAACAACAGATTAGTTTTTTTTCGATAAAAAAAAAATTAGATTTATACAAATTCATCTCTAAATCAAGGGTATTGAAACAAATAATATGGACGTTTGTATTGCTAAGCTTTTTTGTCGCAAGTGAAATGTCTATTGGCAAACAAAGAACAAAAGGGTAAGAAAACAATTAACTTGGTAGTGTAGTAGTTTTAGTTGTAGCCTATGCACATATTAACCACAATAAACATACTAATTCATCTATATATTCCATTCCTACTTCTTTGGGTACCTCCATCCGTACTTTTTTGGGTACCTCCTTTTAACACCGTAAAATTTAGGATATGACCAAATATACTAATTATAAAACCAATTTTAGGTGGTATGATTGTATCCTCAACCATACAAATCACACTCAACAATCAAACTTCAATGGAGTTCTCGGAAAATATATGACAAATTATGTTGTTTCCAAATATTATCTATTGATCTTTATCAGCAGCATATCTGTGTCAGAGCCATAGATTAATCAGATGTGATAAACTTTATGAGTATGGTTCGTTTCCTGCTGTCCATCAGCAACTTCAATAATAGGTGAAACTTTCCCAAGCAGTGAGATTGTCTTCTCTGGAGTATAATCTCCATTTTGACATAAAAAAGGTGAGCAACATACCAAAAAGATTCTTATATGGTAAAAAATTGCATTCTGGGGGCACCACAACACAGATACTTGAATAAAATAGCAAGCCTTCTTAAAATACGGCTTTATTAATAAATAAAATACAGCTTTATAAAAATAATACAGCTTAAAATCTGTCAAAAAATACAGGTAAAAACCAAATTGCCTTTGCATAAAAATATTACTTGTGTTAAAACTAACTATTTTTTATTCAGTTTTAGAAAACACCAACATGTTTTGAAGGTCATCAGAACGCTCAAAAATTTTAAATAAAAGTGTGAAATTTTGAAGCTTAAATGTGTATTAGTAGAAGAATGTTTTTAAAAATCAATTGGGATTACATGTAAGAAGAAGGCAAGTTTCCAAACTTTCCAACACAATCAATAGTGTAAAAGAAAGGATCATACCCATCGTGAACTGGAACCACTTGTGTGCATTCAGAGCATCCCACACCTCAGAGTGACGACACTTTTACCTTTGGAAGTGAATAGCACCATGCAATCTCCAGTGGATGCAAATGAAACATTGTTGTAATATGTAATATCTATATCAATCCTTAGGACATGTTGGGATATCCTAACACTAGCTATACAAAGTTAGATAGAAAATAAGTCTACTTGTTAAAGCAAGACAAGAAATAAGCATTGTGTATAAAGTGATAAAAAAAGTTTAAAAGGTTCATTTAAACAACACTTCAACCCTTCATTGAGGAAGAAGAAAGAATAGTGGTTTTTTAAAGTGTCATTTTTTATGTACAAATTGCTCTGAACATGAAAAAATGAAGAAAGAATAGTGTTTTTCAAAACATCTTTTTTGAAACATGAGCAGTTGGAGAAAAGAAAAAACTTTTCTTGGTAAATGATAAGAGATTCGAGTAAAAGGTCGAGACGAAATAAATAACGTTCAATAATTCAAAGGCTGAGAAGTAAATAAATCTCCATCATAAACATACTTAAAGCATATAAAAAATTACCATAATAATCCCATGACATTTTCTTTTCTTTAAGATAAGATCTTTAAAACCCAGAGAAGCTAGTAATTCTCATAAATCATAGTCAAATGATAGAGACAATAAAATTCAGAGCTTACACTTTTCCCAGTCATGCTTAACGAAGATAAACACTAATGATAAAAGAGAAATAGAAATCCAAAAAATGCAACACCTACAGCACACATAGAAGTTATTGTAACAAAGTTTTCTCTGCCCCAAAATTCAACACATGCCTCAAATTCCATAAAGTGACAAGAGGTACTGCATGATTTTCAAAAAAGTCTTGGCAAAAATCTTCTACGATAGAAAGAAAATACAGGTTTCAGAATCTGGTTCTTTATAATTAATAAAAGTTACACGTTTAAAAGATGCATTTGAATAGGGCCTGGTACTTCAGAAGAATCAGCAGAGTCCAAAACTAAATGTTTGATGCATCTATGAAGGTATCTGCACAGTGAATATAAAGTATAAAAAAGACTAATTTCAAAAAGTTATTTCGAGAAAAAAACACATACAAATACCATATCTCAAAGGTACCTCTGATGCTGCAAAATAGATTTTCGAGAGCAGTAATTGTTTCAAACAACAATGTCAATCATTGCATTCATTTTTATTTAATAAAAACAGAGGGGAATGCAATTAAAACAAAGGCATGGCAATAGATGGTAAAAGGGTTGTATGCACCTAAGAAAGCAATCTCCAAGAAATTGAATAGATACAAAAACTCAGTGAGAATATATAGCCCAAAAAGAAGAATAATTAACTGTTGTAAAAGACAAGAAAATTATGACATTTTAAAGTGTGTGAATGTAGTGTTAATATAAAGAACGACAACCAAAAAAAGTCAGAAAAATAGCATATGAAGCAAAAACTGAACAAATGGTACAAGAGATCCCAGCAACTAGCAAGTAAAATAAATACAGGCAAATACACTTGGCATACATAAAAAGTGAGTGGGTGCAAGGTTACTTCAAATCGTCATGAAGTGCAACTGGGCAAATCTTCACAATTTAAGATTTTCAATACATGTCAGTTATATAAACACCTAAAGTTGAACTACCTTGAAGTTCAACAACCTAATGCAACAGCACCTGAACTCTTCCACACAGAATTCTATTATAAATTAACTGAATTAGTATAAACAGAGAATCAGCAGCAAATAAACAAAGAAAAAACAAAATTCCAGCACTCACCTAGTGACCCATGTAAGGAGCGCCACCCGGGCCAGGATGAGGTCTAGCACCACCACTCTGCCCCAACTGAGGATTCTGGTACAGTTGTTGCAACCCCGGCTGGTTTCCATATCCCGTAGGAGCCTGATTACCATACGCAGCAGGAGGTGGCCCGGCTTGGTTCACAGAAGCACCACCAAGACCTCCAAGCAAGTTTCCAAGCCCCAATCCAGCTCCTTGATTAGCAAGCAAAGCTGACAACGCCTGACCAAGTGCTGGATTCAATCCTTGAGCTGGGACTCCAGGATTATAACCCCCAACAGGCCCCGGAGGCGCCATCAAGTGACCACCACCTCCACCATGGGATGGCCCACCACCAGAGGAATACTTGTTCTTCTCTTTCCTCGAATTGTAATGAGGCTGGTGATGGTGATGGTGAGAATGATGCTGTTGATGATGGTGTTGAGGCTGCTGATAATGACCCTTGTATCCCTTAGGACCATCAACAGCCTTCTGACAATACAAAGTATGACCCTCAAAAGTCTTATTAGGCTCTTCCAAAGCCTTCTTAGAACTCTCAACAGACTTGTAAACAAACAGAGCAAACCCCTTTGGCCTTCCAGTATTCTTATCAAGACCCAAAGGACCATCTTCAACTTCCCCAAACTGTCTAAAAAACTCAAGCAATTTCTGAGGATCAATATCAGAACTCACATTGCTTACAAAAATCTTCCTTTGAGTATACTCCGAGACTGGCGGACCATTGGGCGGAGGTGCCGGAACAGGTCCAGCAGAAGCCAACTGACAAGACGTTGTTCTGTTACCAATCTGCTTCTGAGGCTGCTTCAGCGCCCGTCGACAACCACTCCTATGCTTAAACAAAATAAAAGCATACCCCTTCGACTTTCCAGAAGCCTTATCAGTAACCGCCTTACAGTCTTCAATTTCACCGTATTTCTGAAACACACTGGTTAAGGTTTCGGCGGTTGCATCCCATCCAAGTCCATGAACAAAAATTTTCCTGTGAGCAGGGTCCACATCAGCCAGTTGACGAACATTCTCTGACAGATCTGGATACTTCTCAATAGCTTGCTTCACGAGAACATGTAATTGCTCCTTCGTGAAAGGCTCTAGAAGCTTCTCAACAGGTTCGTCTTCCAAATCGAGATCTTCCTCTTCTCCATCGTTGTTAGTTTCCGTTTCCTCAGCACCGTTAGCTTCGACCGTCTCAGTCGAAACAGTCGAAGCCGCGGTTGGATTTGAAACTTCCGCAGCGTCTTGTTGTTGGTTTTGGTTTTCTAGGGTTTCGTCTTCTCCTTGTTGCTCTTCGTCTTCTTCTTCTTGTTCTTCTGCTACTTGCTCTTGTTCTTCTTCTTCCGGATCCTCTTCACCTTCTTGTTCTTCGTTTTGAGGTTGATCTTCTTGTATCGGAGTGATTTCTTCATCGACGGCCATGTTGTCATGGCTTGGTTCTTGATTTGTTGCTGGTTCGGGTTGTGCTTCGGCTACTTCTGGTTTTGGTTCGGTTTCGAGGGGTTTGGTGGGTTCGGGGTCGGAAGATCGAAGCTTTCGTTTTTTGGCCATGGCGGTGATGGAATCGGAATTAGGGTTAGGGTTTGGGAAGAGAGTGAGAATGAGGAAAATTAGTGGCTGATGTGATGAGAGAAGAAAGTGATTGTAAGGAGAAATGCTGTGAAGAGCTATTTTACTAACACCTGTCGGGTTATCAATGTATGTCGTTGGGCTGGGCGTCTGGGCCAGCGCATAATTGGGCAAACTTTTCCATATACATCTACAATTATTTCACTCCTACATTTTAATAGTACAAATTTGAAAAAAATATCATTTTGATTTTGAAGTTCTTCGGTCTTGCAGTTTGTGTTGATAGAAAGTTAAGAATTTTCTTTTGTTTACAGGAGGTCTTTACTTAAATTTGTTTGGTTAAGTCTTTGGAGATATTTTAAGTAAGTTGTGTTCATACTTTCGTGTATTTGACTTTTTAATACATTTTATTATAATGCATCTAATTTATATATGAACAACATATATTAATTGTTAAATATATTAAAAATTCAAATTTATTTAAAATTTGTTACGGAGGGAATACTTTTTTATAAATGTAGTGCTTAGGATAATTTAGGCCTAAGTTATTCGATCGTTGCCAAAAAGAATCATATTTGATGTTGGTTTAAGTTATCTAGCAAGCGGAATCTCAAACTATTTTAAAACATTTTAAAATTTAAGATTTCATAGTTTACATGTGATCTAAATCACACAAGCTTCTATTAGCCACTCCTTAGATTGATTTGAATAATCATTTCCACATGACTTGAATTACATAGTTTCACACATTTTCTTGTTGGGTGTTGTTCATTTTATTTCCACTTAAAACTTCTACTTGTTACTCTTTACAATAACTTATATGGCATAGTTAATAGTTTGGATGCAATGTTCTATAAAGTTGCTTATTGTACATGAAATGTTATTTTCTTAAATTTTTTTATAATGGATTGACTCCTCTCTCTCTCAATGACTAATTGAGAAAATAATTAATTTTATATAAAATGTGAAGTGAAATTATTGAGAAAGTAAAGGTATAATTGACAAATTATACTAATAAACTATAAAAATGACACTTAAATAGAAATAAAAAATTCTTCTAAAACTACACTTAAAAATGAACGAAGAGAGTAACATAAATTTATATATTACTGAAAATTATAATATAGCTAAAACAAAGATGAAATATTTGAAATTGCATTTTATAATTAACTAGTGGGATACCCGTGCGTTCGCACGGGTACTGATGTGGTACACACGCTTTTGTCTTTAAAATGTAAATAAAATAAATATTTTTTTTTAATTATTTACAAATTTGAAAAAATAAGGCATTATGATGAAATAAAGAAAAGTCAAATAATTTATTAATTATTTCTATAAAAAATTTGTAAATTTTGTCTTAAAGTAGATCACATTACTCGTACTTATACTAGTGTTATAATAAATACATT